AAATATTGGTAATATGTCGTTTCGGAGTTTGACGTTTGTGTTTACGTGATAACATTGCTTATTTCCCATACATTTTACACCATTGGCGTTTAGTCGCTGAAAACCCTTTAGCCCTTTAAGCTCGTGTTTTATCAGAGCTAACACGATTTATTAAGTGGCGTTTCAGAGATACGAAATATAAAAATGCGTTGTACTATAGTCACACCGATTAATAAGAGTTGGACCAAACGATGCGCATATTATTGCCTCCACTACCCGATAGTATAATTTAAATTGTCGCTTAGCCTCTAAATGCCACGTTGTCCCTTTTGCCCAAACATCATCATCGATATTATTATATTACACAATACACAGTAATCTGCAGACATGATCGCGCGATTCGATAACCAGGATATAAGTACGAGCATTAAGACGACTGTACGTGGTGCTAAGTGATTGCGACTGTAGTTCTACTACATTACCAAGTGAGCCGTATACAGCAGTAGTGAGTTTATACGCGTCATCAGATAGAAAGTTGGTGTATACACGCGCGCATAACTTATTCGAACCGGAAAATAGAAAAGGGTTTGTGCCCAAACATTCGCATCAGTATACAATAATATATAGTATGTACTCTTTGGATATCATCACGAGTCTGGGGGCACATTATAATAATATATAGGAGTATAATAGTAATATCGATGGTAATGTTATTCCGTGGCGTTAATGGAGTAGAGGCGTTTCTATACACATACCTAATACGAAGCGATCCGCTCATCACGAAGCGGCAATTTTCTCGGAAGATTTCCAACAAATTTGATAACCGTGTTAAAAGCTTCATTTTAAAAAAAAAAATTGTTTCCCCTTCTACTTATACCTTAAACGAGTTCATGCTTTTGATTTTCAAAACAAGAAATTCCCTCCCATTTTTAAACGAAGATTCAAGTAGAGATTATTTTCCTAAAAATGTTGATATGTGTATAACATTAACATCGGATTAAACGTGAAAGAGGTATGACAGTTTAATGTATAATAGGAAAGGAAAATCGATTCCATATTAAATTTTAAATGATGAATTGATTACCATTCGTTACCATCCGGTCCAAACTTTAAATTGTTATCCGATTTTAATGTTATGCGTATAAAAATATTTAAAAAAATATTCTCTATTTCAATCTGTGTTTAAAAGGGGAAAAATCTAAAGTACATACTAATTTCAGGTACAAGGGGTAGAGGTGAAACATTGAAAATAGTTAGCGTTAAAATAAAACTCAAACGGTTCAATAATGATTGAAAAAAAAAAAAATAGAAAACTTAAAATCCTATGAAAATCGCTTATTCATAATAAGTGAATCACTCTGTATTGTACTTGTGTACGTATACGCAGGCCAAAATCGTCTTGTTTGCGCAATCTCGGAAAAAGTTCAAAATCCATATTATTCAAATATATACATATATTAACATATATATTGTTCGTATTGAGAGGTCACGTGTTATGTTATTGCCGGGCAAAATTAATCTGTGAAACGACCGGCCCTTTGAATGATTTTTCGCAGAAATTTCTTTAATCTACATAGAGTACAGATTCCGATAACGACGTCTATCAACTGGTTTTCAAAGATTATTAAAACTAAACATTTTTTATTAGAACGATGTTATGAATTGATTGGTTTCGAACCGAAAAATTCGTAAAAATCATGTACCATTTTTTTATTAAAAAAAAATTCAACAAAACGTTTTTTGGCTTTTTTTTACCTACAGGTAATCAACTGATTCAGCGATGATTATACGTGGAAAAGAGGGTGAGCGATTTATAACCTTCCAGTTATCCCAGTTAACACTACTACATTAACACCCACTACAGACCTCCCAAATAAGGCTAGAAGGATGAAATGTTGTATAATAGCTTATACTGGTGTGCTTTTTATGGAATTTAACTTACAACCCACGTCTTAACCATTTTTATGCTTAAAATTTACAATTTGTTTAAATAGACTTTGCAAATAGTATTCGATCAATTATTGATTTATAATGAATATGTCTGTAGTAAAAAATGTATGGGAGGGAGAGGGAAAATTCCACTCTAGTAACGGAGCTCTACTGTTCACATGTTTTTTTTTCTTTTTGCTATACAGCCTTCAAAATCAACTATTCAAAAATGTCTATATTCACAAAACTCTGCTAATTCAAGTCAATCTTTATCAAGCTGTATTTCTGTCTCATTTTTAAAGATTACGTTTCCCAGTAAAAATCAGTACTTTTTCATTTAGTGTAATATTATCTCTACGAAATCTTATAATTTTTCTATGCACGGCCTTTGTAATTTTGTATTTTTAATCTCTTCCACTACATCCGACTTGCTAAATAATCATAGGGCTCTTAGTTCTTCCGCCAATCCCTGTTTATGGATCTTGGAATGAGTAATTATTTATTCACCTTAAAATTTTCCCTACAAAAACCTTTTAGTCTATAGGTTTTCTCAGAGCGCGTCGCTTACCTATTACCCAAATTCATGTAGATAATAAAATATGTATTTAGAAATTATTATCCTTTTCCTGAGTATTTACGAAACCGACCTAGCAGTTACAGGTAGTAAGCAGTAGCAGCCCATAGTGTATAGTTTCTGTTCGTATTTTAACAATATTATAAGATCTATCGAATTAAAATAACTCAATTACACGAAGGACTTTAGCAGTTATGCATAAATACTAAATGTTGGAAAATATTATTTCAATAACGTCAAATTAATTGACGTCGAATTAGTACCTATTTATTCCATAGCGGAATAATCGAAAATATATTTTACGAGGAGCAACGGCTCCTATCATCGAGTCAAGTACATTTAAAAGGTATTCGTGTCTGAACCGGCAGTAATTTAAAAACCGTATTCAAATAAAGTCAGAAAATCCGTATTATTTAGATGTGAGATTTTTAAAAAAATTTCCAATAAACAGCGCATCTTAATGACATAATAGTATGTAGATAGATTCCTTCCTCCGTTACAAATCTAAAAATATAATGAAAACAATAATAATATTCTAGCATAATAAACGTAATATTTTCAGGAATTTCAATGACAATGATATTTGTTGATTTTTCAAAAAAAAAAAAAAAACCCGCGATGATCTCGTTTAAAACAATTTCTACTCGCGTATAATATTAAACTAATTATTATTATTTAACGCGAGTTTTCTTCTTTGAGGGTCTTATGGTATTCATCTCGGTCCTTCTTTGAATTTTGATCATTACATCGACCCTATAAATTCGTTTCTTCCGTTCTCAAAGGCGTTTCGAAAGTCTTGGACATCTTAACTTATATATCAAATTTCGAGTTTCTTCCTACCATTCCAGGTACATATATATTTCCCTTGCGCCATCTCATTCCACTAAACGTGGTTTTAATCTTTTGCTATCAAAAGGGATCTATCATATTACTGGCTTAGCGTAAAAAGAACTATAATTTTATATTGGTTTAAAAGATAATGGTCTTTTTGAATATATTTTTTTTAAAAATACAAACAAAACGTACAATACCGGGTTGCGTTTTCCTTGTTAAATATTCGGTTCGTTTATTAATAACCAAATAATCTATATTTATTAACATATTTATGTCTAATAATAACTAATTTTAAATAATCTTTCCTATTAAAATAAATTATTTCTATATTCTATGTAAAACGACCAATTTGACAATTTTTTTCTTTCTAAGTATTCCTTCATTTAATTTTTTTATTGACTGTGATATACACGATGATGAATTTTTAATTCGAAACCGATCGTATAACACACTTATCATAATACTCCAGACGACGCATTCATTCGTTTATTTATTTTTTTATTTCTATACATAAATTTTGTGTTTAAATATTTATTTACTATAATTATTTTTTATTCACTCCGAAGATTTTTCATATTGTTACATTATTATTTCGTGAATATACTAAATAGTATACCTTCGAAACGATTATTTTGTTTTCGTTAAAATAATAATAATGATAATATTTTACTGGTGCACAGCATCCGTGCACGGTATCCGCGCGCGCGAGCAGCAAAGGGGTCTGTGCGGCGTGATCGACCCTTTTTCCGACATGGCCGAACAAAAAGGGTACGCTCGTTTAAAAAGGGATCTGTTTTTTTTTCACCCGGTTTTTTTTTTTTTCATTATTTTGCATCCGCACTTCTCGCGGTACACTTTTATTTTATTTTTTTTTTATCGTCGACCAATGGTCGTGCCGGATTCGCGCGGAAAAAATGCGCCGGCGGCTATGCGCGTAGTGTCATTTTTTGCCGGCCGAGAAAAATGTATACGAAAAAAAAAAGAGAGAGAGGAGCGAACGATCGGCCGGGGGCGTGGGTGGCGGGTACGGTTTTGTAAAAAGTCCGTATGTGTGTGTGGTGTATGTGAGTACGGCAATAGGTGACAATGGGAATTTTCGTAGTCGCGGATTAAGTTTTGCAGTGTATCGATGGCTTTTGAGAATGCTGCGGTGTAATTTTACGCGGTGAATCGTACGTGTTTTTTTTTTTTTTAAATACCGTTTAAGAAGTGCCACCACCGTCAGAAGCCATACCAGAATTGCAACGGTTCGGACCTGCCTCGTCGTCATCGTCTTACGGCGACGCTACAAACAGTTTTTTTTTTTCGGACCGTGGACGAGAATTATTGCTGTATCGAATAACGGTGATTTGTATTATTTCGGTATTTTGTTTTCCGTTCTCCTCTTCCGTTACATTACGCTTTTGACCGTACGAAAATTCATAAATTCTTGATCGTACGTGTTCAACGTTTATATTTTTGATTTTATGTACACGTGAGTAACTACATTATTTTTTTACTATTAATATTTATAGTTTCGTTTCAATCGTCACGTTGTACGACATATAATAATCAATTAATTCAATATTCAGTATCGTATCGAAAAAGTTCACATTTCGTTTAAAAATATAAAAATTAATTTTTTGTTTTTTTTTTTTTTTTCAATTTCGGTACAATGTTATAATTTTAAATAATACTGTCTATATTTTTTACCTCTAATCAGTCGATAAATCCAATACTTAATATTATTACACATTTAAATCGGACGTGAAACTTGCATACGACGGAGACGGACACTGAACAGTTGTTATGCTGATAGTTATGTAATAATATGCATTTAGTGGCTGCACTCGTTTGGATCAGAAACGATTGTTTCAAGAGTTATTCGATTCACGCGAAAATAACGTCGGACAATCTCTTTTACGTAAATATACTCGGTGTTATTCTTGTTCCGAATGAAAAACCAACAACAACAACAACACACAATAAACGTGATAAACGAGAAATTGACCGCGAGCTCGAGTAACAATTTTCGGGCATATTTAAAAGAACAAAATGACGTTTGGTTCTTTTTGTGCGCGGGTACGCGGTCGGTCGTATACCTACCTGCGAGTTAAACCGTACGAAGGGTAAGTCGATGTTTTTGTTTTCGGTTTTACTAAAACCACACTATATACCTATGTACACAACCTATGTACACAACGGTACGGGCGATCATTTGTACCGCGCAGCAAAAAGTTTATAATATTCTAATAATAATAATAATTGTCGACTGCATATTATAAATATAACAATATAGAATTTTAACAATTTTCCCCGTTGGACGTTGTACAAAAACGATTTTTATTTTTCCGCGTACGACGTGGGTACCTGCCTATATACAATATATATTATTGAAGTTTATTTGATAAATTTTGTTCGAAATCAATTTAAGATTAAAATGTATAACTAAAAGTATATAGGTCGCGAAATATATGCGATATAGTTACCTGGCGGTATAGGTATCGTGATTAATTTTAAATTAATTTCATCGCATTTTATACGATATTTTATTTTCAGGTCTATTAATGTATTATTGAATCGTAAAGTCTTGCGTGCCTGCTACGTGTAATATTAAGTTAGATATTAAATTCGCATACACGAAAATAATAGTTGTAATCCAAAAGAACAATCATATATTTTTTTATTAATTTTTCCGATTTTTCCCATTTACTGCGAAAACTTCAGAGAAAATCAAAAATGGACCTTTTTAAAGTACCATCACAGTCAAATTTCCTTTCAGAAAAAATGCTATTATTGTAAATCTGAATAAAATTGCTGGAAGAAAAGTTGTTCACAGATAAAAAAAAAATAAAAAAATAATTGTAAAATTGCATTATAGAATTATAAGAACATTCTTCGCTCTGCTCTGCTAAACCAGTCTCTGGCTGATATTTTAACAATATATACATATATAATTATAACTTGAAAACGGAAACATTTTTACTGTTCGATTTATTAAAACTTATAAACAAAAACAAATTGGATTATTTTTGAAAATATAAATACCTATCCAAATCGAATTTACTTCCAGTAGAAAATGCAGGCGTGAATTGACAAAAAAAAAATAAAATAAAAAGCGCACAATCATAGGAAAACCAAAATACTATAGGATCATAATTTGTATGAATAATGTTTATTTAAGCGTTTGGCCTCTTTTTTTTCCCCGATATCAAAACGAATTATTTTCTTTGAGCAAATATTCATTTCTTTCCTTTCTATTTAAAATGATCTCTATCTCTGCTTAATCGTAGATTTGGTTAATTAATGTTTTTATTATCTATACAATGATAAAATTTAATTCAAATTTATAATATAAAAAAACCTATTCGCTTTAAGTTTGTGTGTAAACATGTAGAAAATGTCTACTGAAAAGCTAAATTCAACTACAAAATAAATTATAATTATCTGTGTCTCGAATTATTGAGTATTTATATGAAGCCGAAAAACTTTATCCTCATAGAACCAAAAAGTAAGAACTAACTACAAAAAAAACTTGAAAATTTAAAATTACTATAGAGTATATAAAATATAGATGTAGCTTAAAAATGTCCAAAATATTTTTAAAATCGTACCACATCTAAAATATCTCTAAGATGATTTAAAAACTGAATTACAATAAAAAACAAAAAAAATCGAACTTTTTCAGACGCCAATATTGATCTGCATATGCACCACAGGTCCCGGCATTTTCGGATCCTTTTCCGCCAATAAAAACGGATTTACAGATTCGCGCAGATTCCTAAAGGAAATCATTTTTTTATTTTTCCAGCTGTTTTTATAACTAATGAGAAAAACGGAAAAATATTAAACAAACAGATATTATAACAAATATTATTAAAGAAAAAATATAATATAATGCATACGTAATTTTATTTTACCATAATATTGCATATTATATACTATTGACAAAGCACCACTATTAACGGAACTCTGCTCTGAATTGTTTTTCGTTAGCAATGATTAATCGTTGCGATAAGATATACATTCAATTTTCCCTCTACCTTATCAACTAATCACCTGCAGCAGTAGCCAAAACCATAGTGCGGTGTGCGTCCGTATTTTTTTGGCATAAAAAAAAATATTTGACATTTTCAAACGGGAGGTGTAGAGGAAACGGTGCTAGTGAAATGTACGTTCATTCCTCGCTTCGTTCAGAATCTAAAAAAAAAACGCAATATAATAAAACCAATACGTTCGTCGCCGCGTTTAGAACCTAAAGATATTATTAAATTCTCGTTACGGTAAAGACTCTTGCATAATGTTGAGAATATTATAATGTGCGATCGGCGAAACCCTCGAAACAGCTTTTCGCGGTCGCCGAAAACGACTGTATCGGTATAACCGGTATAACCACAGTGGTTATTATAATTTTTTATTACAATATACTTACAAGTACGGACAGTGTCGTCTTCGGACGGATCCGAACACCCTTTTTTTTTTTTTTTTTGTTATACGTGACCTTTCCCCGGGGCTACCGAATACCGGATCAGTCGAACCGATACGCCGATATTTAAAAAACAAACCGGACCGTAGAATATTACAATATCGCCGTTGTGTGTCTTTTCGATACGTTACATTGTTTCCCACGGATAAGTGAAATCGGTCGCAAACTGGTCGCGATCGACGACACCGCGTAACCGGTCGAACGTTGCCGATCGAACTCTCACGGGGGACTCCCCGCTCGCGACGCCCGGCAGACACCCCGGCTTTCTCATGACCTTTCGATACTCTGTAGCGACACATAATACGTGCAACGATAATAATTTCTGTCCCGGCCGCGAATCCAGTTCCGGAACAACGGGAACGGGTCGACGGCGGAGGCGACGCGCGCAGGCAGGGGCGATCCTAGGGGTGACACCCCTCCCCTCCCCCTGAAGTCGGCATATTATAGCTACATTCACACAAGACCTATAATACTAAAAATTTTAATATTTTTATTTACAAGTTTTTCTTTGGGTTTTTTAAATCGACAATCGTGTAGTAGCTGATGATAATCGGCGAATATCGGATAATGGCATGAAATACCAGTCGTCAGTGTACACAGCCGTTAAATTTCGTTCTCGGAAGTCGGCGAAGTTCACTCCAAACCCGCCTAAAAACAAACCCTAGGATCGCCACTGAACGCAGGTTTCGCTGTGCCGTCTGGCGGGGTAACGTCAGGGGCGTTTCGGACGTATAGTGTCTCCGCACGAAGACGGCCGAGTTTTTCAAAATTAATTAAACGTTTTTATCGCGGCACGACCGTGACAAACGGCAAATAACGGCGCGTTTTATAACAATAAGACAACAGTTTTATTAAATACGTTATTTTTTTCTACAAATATTTACGAATAACATACGCAGAGTAATATTTTATGTATTTTCGAGTTTTGTTTATTATTCCCTACCTCCCCTCACCCTCCAATCCCCGAAGTTTTTTACGAGTCGGATTTTATAGTTTAAAACTTTATAAGCTCTTAGTAAACTTTTAGCGTAGATTTCTGTGTTATATTTTAAAACAATGGTAAAAAAAACCCCCCAGTAGGATACCTACAGCCATAAGTTCGACTGAGAAAAGGTCAGAGTTATATAAATTATTCAAAAACGCATAAAACAATAAAGGTTTAACATTCAAAATATCGTTCTCTCAGGTCGTCTGGCCATAATGTGTATAAAACAAAACCTTTGCGGGTTGGCGTAAAAAGACACCGTAAAATAATTATTACAATGTAACAATATTAAATGCACAAAGTGTTTTAGAAATATATGAGTGTACTGATCAAAACGTAAGATTTAATTTAAATTCGAACAACAGGTGTCAATTGTTGACGTTTGATAAAATGTTAGTGTTTACTCCAATTTGTTCCGCTCAAACGGTAACAACCAGAATTGAACTTACATCGAAATTAATTTTTTTTCTTTAGGAAGATAGGATTGCCGAATTTTAGATAATTTTTAAGTTCAAAATTGGAACTCTTGGGGAGCACACGCATACGCATTTAAACGCGATATTTTAAACAAAAATGCTTGTTTGTATTACCGAATAATCTTATATTTTCATACAAACTTCGACTTGTAAGATTGTTTTCACCCGAGAGCCATCTAAAGCTTAAAAAAAATATGGTTTTTCAAACAATTTAAAGAACAGTTATTACGCAGTTAAATTACTTCACTTTTAAAATCACCACGTTATCATGAAGGGTAATGGTCTAAAGGTTATGTACCTGTTTAAATAATGGTAAAATCGCATCCTTTTTTTTTTTTTACCGAAATTAGTCATATTTTATCTATTATTAATAACAGAAAAACATTTTTTAATATACTGTATATATCTCGGGTGAAATTTTAAATATTTTCCTATTTTATTACCTATAATAAATAATATAATATAATATAATAATAATATAATTCGTATTTTTTTCGAAAACGAGGCCTCAAATTTAAGTAAAATGCGAGAGTCCCAAACCCTATGCCAAGCCCGCCTCCCCCCCCCCTTAAGGACGGCCCAGATCTCTGGAAATTTTTAAAATGGAAATAAATGACTCAAAAAGTGGTTACCACTATGTATTTAAATAAAATCGAATCGATCGAAGTCCATCCGGCCGAAATACTTCGTGTCACCATTTCGGTGAACACAGTGTATATTATTTACTAGTAATTAATTACTTTCATTATTAATTAATTTCATACCAACGTTACATATTATTCTATATTTTTATTTTTAAGAGGCAAAACAAAATGCCAGTCTTGAATGTGTATTATTGAATTTGTATTGGAAGTGAAGCAGATGTTAATATGATTATGTATTTTTGGATTGATTGATTAAAATAATATATTTCATGATCTAACGATTCTAAATAAAAAAATTTATTTTGCATAATTCGTCGTTTTTTTAAAAATTTTAGAGCACATTTGCAAAATTTAGTACGTTTTTTAAACATGTTTAAGGATTTCGTACAGTCTTAATACATATTTAACTCAACAAATCAAAAACCACAAAACAATTGTATGAGATTTAAAAGTATAAAGTATGTACTAATACGTTTCACTCAAATAAGTCAATATGGGTTTTATAACTTTTGAACAATATGATAATATATGTAGGTACATTGCTATGACATTTATACATTTTTAAAGCATATTTTAGTGTTTTTATTGCATAAAATGTGCATATAATATATTATTTAAACGTTTTTGGGCACATAAATATATATCCGCCTTGATTATAAAATTGTTTAATACCTATACTAAAATATTTTGGTGTACGTATAGGTAACGGCCGTGTCAGAAGCATCGTCGACTAAATATTCATTGCATCGCTGTGGCTGCTGCTGGTTTATGGAAACTTGGAAACTTCCAGTTTCTTATTAATTAACGGCAAATACACGTCACGTCTAGGTCTAATGACGGAGTATATATACGTATGTTTGATCGTTACACACCAGTGTAGGATGTTCTGCGGTCGACAGGATCCGATGCTTAACGATTGCTGGCTATACCTATGCACTGCAGCTTCGTAAGTTATGCAAAGTTCATGTTCAAATTTGTAAATTGCGTACACGTATTATTATTATTATTATTGTTATAGACTGACGAACGCTGCGAGACGATATTAACTTAGATTCGAAGTTTTACACAATTCGCATACGTAATATTATGGACGTTTTAGTTTGTACACGATGTGTATTCATTTTCAGAGTTCAAGACACGAGACAGTACCTGAATACATCAATATATTATGTATTGATGTGGAACGTATATATAGGTATTTACTTGCACTAAAATAATATTGTATCAAAAAAAAAAAAACCATATGTATAAATATATAAAGGTGGTCCTTATTTTTTCCGGTATGGAAATTATACGACAAGGTAGTCCCATATTTTTTCAAAATTTTCTTCGGGATACTCACCGATCTTGTGCCGTATAATGAAAAAATATACACATCCTCAAAGTTTGAGGCCATTTGGATAATATTTAACGCAGGCGCACGACGTTTAAATATTTAATAAAAAAAAAGCTGCGTGCAATTAATGAAAATAGTGTACAAATGACCACGGATCGATTAGTTGTATTTTTTTTTAAATAAAAAACAAAGGGTCTATTTTAATCCTAAAATCTCGATGTCTTTTTGATACCACATATATGTGGATTAAATTGTCCAAGAATTTCAGAAATCGACTGAAACTAATATTTCTTTACGAAATTACCAACTATATCTATATTAAAACAGTTTGACTTATATTATTAATTAAGTACAGTCGTGTCTCGACACAAAATAACTGAAACCTTGATAACACTAAAACTTGATATTTCGAATTTAATTTTGCCTTCTTGAAATTCTCTTAAAACTCAACGTGTATGTCTCTCAAAAATTGTGATAAACAGCTTATTAATTTATTAGCGTTTTCAATTAACATACTATCCACATGTAAGGTACTAAAAAATAAATTAAGATCTCAGGATTAAAATAGGTCCTATGTTTTTTTTTATTAAATAAAAAAATTAATTCTGAACGATTTATGATCGTTTTTATACTATTTTCATTGATTTCGTTAAATCTTTTTGATATTAATTTTTAAAATATCGTGCGCCTCTACTAAATATTATACAAATTACGTCACATTTTTAGACTATTTTTTTTTATTAAACGACACATGACAGGCAAGTTTTCCGAAGGGAAATTTGGGAAAATGGTCGAATAAGGACCACCCTAAAATATATGTATTCCTGGGCATTTAAATGGAAAATTTTAATTTTAATTTAATTTAAAACTTGTATAAGGTTCTAAAATTTCATGAAACTTAGAATTTTTGTGAAAATTCTGTGCATCTTAGGAAATAAAGGGCTGAAAACGTATTTAAAATAAATCAATAAATCATAACAAAAATACAATTAAAAAATCAAATAATTTAATTGTTTTAGATATTGATCGAAATGAGGAATAAATTGGTTTTACTATGTAGTAAATGTCTGTACGAACCACTCATATCAGAAATCTTATTCTAATCAAAAACATTGTAAACGTTTTTTGGTAGCACTTTTAATTTAATTGGTATATTAGGGAGGTAATTTTTTCATACATTTTTCTTATAGTTTATTATAAAATGGGAAAACCTTACAATTTTTTGTTAATTCCCGGGTTATCTTGACAACAATGGAAAAATACGACTAAAAACACTCTACTCAGAACCGTTTTTCGTTAGCTATGATTAATCTTTGCGTACAAATACACATGAAATGTTCACTCTACCTTTCCAACTTCTCACCTATAATAGTGGCCCATCCATCATGCGAAGTATGTCCGTTTGTTTTTAAAAATACGAGTATTTATTTAATTTTATTTCTTTGTGAAATCATTTTTTTTTTTTATGCATATACATATATATATAAATGTATATTACTATTTTTCACCATACTTAGTAATAGGTATTGTTTGTAAGTTTAAAGTAGTTTGATTTTGCGCGCGTCAATGTAAATAATATTTATATTTTTGGGTTCTATCTCAATTTTAATATTGTACACATAATATTGCATACTATGTGTATTGTGTACTACATGGGTAGATAGTGACAAAAATGATGGAGTTTCTTTATTGCGTATAAATACACTGACCTTAATCGACTATATGCGGTTTTGGACTGTGGTATTCCGTATAGGTATACGAAGTCGTAGGTAGGTACCCGTTTAAAGCGTTATTTGTTTAGGTTAGACGTTTGTTTACCGTTATAATACTATTTTGATTCTTCTCCCGCGTACATACATGATGTAATTGAATTTGCGGAGTTTCGATTGGATTGCACATTAATTTTATAATAATATGTGTGTGATTACGCGGTGGATTGAAAGTTAAAATAAGAATTTTCTTCGTTTATTTGGCCTTTTGCAGTCTGTATCGATTAGCGTACATCCAACTAGAGACTATAAGTAAATATATACGTTCCGCCGTTACAAGTGAAATTAAAAATGCATATTAACGTGTAAATTTAGTTAGATATTCTCTAAGACGAATGAGTGAAATCATCAGGCATCGTGTATTTTTCTTCTCTCCGAAAATACTCAGTAAATATATAATATGCTCGACTAATTGAACGATGCGATTCTTGCGTAGATAATTAAATATGTAATTGAATGCGAGCATTCAATCTTAATTTAGAGAGATCACGAGTAATCATCACTTAGATATTAACTGAGTCTGAATTTTATCTATTAAATTTGTATAGGGTGTCCCGCGGAGATGTACAATATTCTATATAAAATGAGTATATCAACGTGTGACATTCTATACAGTTCAGGTTAGGTACATCATACATATGACAAGCGTAGGTATGTGTATTTTTTAGTTGTAGGTATCGCGTAACAAATCCAATACAAGTATATGAATAAATTACGATTTTTACTCGGATAGTTCCGCATAGGTAAAGGTTACGGTTTAATTAATTTTGTTTTCAAATGTATCCCGGTCATTTTATAAAAGCTAAATAATTTCACAATTACTGTTTTTTCCGGCATTATTTTTTTTCTCTCTTTATTGAAAATATTTAATTCATGGTTCGCGTACGGTGCCATACGTAAAATGAAAAAGGTAAGATACATAATTAATTTTAAGTGCACGCGGTGTTTCAAAGTATTAATAAATGTTTTCCCCGTGTTTGTTGTAATTTTTTTTATCGAGTGTCATACTTGCAGGTATTATTATTACTCTCCGTTTTCTAATTCGACAAAATAAATTGTTTGCCTGTATTTGATTAGTTTTAAAACGTATACATTTCCCGCATTTAAGCCTGCTGCTTAGGTAAGTATTAAACGCTACGTCATTACGTCTGTATTTATTCAAATCGGAATATATTTGTTTATCGTTTGTGTTGTTTTTCAGCTGCGCGTGTTTAAGTTTATAACTGATTGTTTACCGACCAGAGTGAAACCGTTGGAATAGTAAAACAACAACATGAACAATTATTATAACATATTTATATAAGTGTAGGTGAGTACCTACAGTTTTTTTAGGAGACCTTTTATAAAAGTAACACGCATATAAACACAATTTGGTCACAATCGATGAAGGCGGTAGTTTTTCGGGGAGTTTTTTTCTGTTCTTCTCAAAAACTATTCTTCTTACGATAAAAGTGTACGGAACGTTTTTTTTTAATTGTAAACCGAACCTTACGAAAAACGTATCACGAAAATCCGCTGGAACCCGTTAATTTACACGGAAACGATATTATAATGTAACGCGCGGTGATTTTTGAATGAAACACACCGAGAATAATAATTTTCCAAAAAGCAATTTCCCGCGGCCGCCATTGCTTTTCATTAAATTTTAGAAGCATCTCGAATAATAATATTAATGATCCTAATTTGATTAATGCGCGGATGAAAGTTTTTCCTCGTATATGGTATAAGTTTCTTGAAAGTTTAACTGCTGCAGTCGCTGCGAAGATAATTACATAAAAGATAACGCTAATGAACCGGAATTTAAGATCGCCCGCAACGTGAATATTAAATAATATAATTACTGTTAATGTGTGTTATTATATAAATATATATATGTATACATATTGTGCATAATACACGTACAGCTAGTGCGGCTTACCGAGGAACCGTGGAAATCGAATGGCATTAAACGTACAATGTTGTGCATTAGCGAGTCGACATAAATATAATAAAAACACTACAGTATTATGGTCAATGCGGTGGCACCAACCGTGGTGGGATGGGGTTGGAGACGTTGTGAATAAATACCGCGCGAATACCATTTTTTTTTTTTTTTTTTTTTTTAAATATCGATTTTGTTTAAATTAGAATACGGGAATCTGAAATGTTAAACCCGAAATTAAGATTTTGAAATCCGTAAATCTAATATTCCGATTTCATAATCCGAAATCCGAATTTTTCAGATCTTTGGACAACCCGGATTTATGTGTCGCCTAACGTCACATATATACGTATAGTTGAATGTCCCTACCTAATATTAATTTTATATCACGGGCATTTCCTTGCACGATTTTAAATACGTCTCTACGTCGCTCACTTCACCCTATTTAATGATAGATTTATTGTCCCGAAAAGCATGTTCAAAAATTTTTTTTGAAATCGCCTCCATTTCCACCCCCCCTTCCGAAAATATACCCGGGTTTTGGCACCGGCTTAACTTACCGATATTCTGATTGTTCCGAATATTACATTTATAACGGAACGAATCATTTTTACTTTTATTTGAACTATTATAATCATTGATTTGCTTAAATTTCATTAATACACCGCCATATTGAAGCAATAGTAAAAACAATAATTATATTTTTGTCTGCGTAAATAATAATATTATGTTTGCGCGTTATCAAAACGTGTAGAAACTTAACTGAAAGTAAATTTCGTCTAGTCGATGCGTTGCGAAGGAGATCATTTTTCGAATTCGTTGCATTTTTCTCAGTACTCGTGTGTAAAAATATAGGAAAAACGGACAAATTCACGAGCGAACAATGGCTTCGTTACGCTCGTCAATTTGGTTGAAAAAAAATAACCGATCGAATTTTTCACAGAACGTCTATTATATCGACGGAGTTTTGTTAAAAAGCCGTATACCACTAAACATCGTAATATACGTTTTTGGTATCGAAAAAATCGGGAAAATGAGGAGCATAAACTGGTGAAAGGGCGTATTTGAATACGTAAAATTATGTAGGCAAAGTCGACTAAAATATATCCAGACGCCCTTTTATAATATAATTAAATCAACACT